GGGCTGCATACACGCTTCCCAGACCGCGTCGTTCCTCGCACTCCAAATGTGATATAGCACTGCAACCACTTTAACAAGAATATCTGATGTTAATAAATCCATAGCATTTTAGAACCACTCTGGAAAAGATCCACCATTCAAGTTTAGTTTAATTTAATTAAGTAACATTTTTCTATACTTATTAATTATATTCTAAAGATTTATTAGTTTATAACAATACATGATAAATTAGTATAAGTGTTCATATGAGGAGGATGATGTCACTAAATTACAAGTGACAAGATGATCAAAATACCTTATTTGAAAACAAAAAGGTGAAAAGAGCTATATTATTATTAGGGAAAATGACACTTTCTCCCTTGAATTATTTTTGTACTCATATTAGCCCCCTTAATTATTTTAAAAGTTACCGTCGTCGGAAGTTCCAGCTGCGCCGGAGCTCGCCGCTATACAAGAAGGTTGCCGGTTCTCGCCCCGTAGCCGCCATCAATGAGAGAAGAGACCAACAACTGTGCAAGAATATCATGCAAATCTCAAGTGTCCTATCTCTCTTGTCTTGCCACTTTGTTGTGATTGAGAAGCTATCTTTACATGCATGCACCAGTAAGGTTTGTCTTTGACTTTTTGAGCTAGGTGGGAGCAGGAAAGACCAAGCATATGAATGGACGATTTTATACCATGTTTTTAACGTCTAATTAACACTAAGTTGACGGAAGGACTAATGGTGGAACGATTTTGATAGTCAAGGGTTTAATTTGTTCAAATTAAAAGACGAGGACTAAATTTGAAAAATCAATATAGTCAGTGGACCATTGCTGGAATTAACTCTTTAGTAATGTGTTAATTGCACTTTTTTCAATGTTCAAATATATACTTAAAAACTTTTTTTTTTGTTGTTATTTTTAATAATTTGAGAATGCAATTGAATGTTTTCAAATAATTCGGACTTATTTATCCATCTGCCAATAAAAAAAAGAAAAAAAAAAAAAAAAAGAGGCTGGAACTTCATTCTACTTTGTACCCGTACCATTTAATATCTATGAGTGGGCGGCAGTATTAAGAGTGACTATATTCTCTGTTCGATGTTGTGGTTTTTAGCAGGTCGCTGTCGCAAATGTTCCAAATGTGAAATGTCATAAATTGGATGCTTCTTAAATAATGAGTATCCGAACCCTATGGGATAATTTTTTTTTTTTTTTTTTTGTTTTGTTTTGTTTTTTTGTTTTTTTTGTTTTTTTTTTAAATATTCATAATTCTTTACGAAGTTATATATGTTCTATTCTTTCTCAAACATGACCACTTATTTAGAATGATAATTGAGATGTCATCACACTACAGGGTAATTGACACCTTATGCGATAATTTAATTAGGCCTTCATTTATAATTACAAATATAAAATATAAAATAATATATTAAAAAAACTTCTATCAAAATACAAAGTATTTAATATAAAAAAGATATTGATGGATACCCTTGAGTAGGGTACCCAGTCAGGAACATATCTCAGCACTCGGAGCTTGCAGCTTGACCACGTTACCCAAAAGTCTTGAAGGGCTCAGTAGCCAGGTTCCTCGCCCCGGGGCGTTGGGATCGTCTAGGCCTGGCCGCCCACCTCATAGCAGGCGGTCGGGGTGGTGCGCCCAACTGGATGCCATACCCAAAGGCGGTTAGAGGATATTTTTCAGGAATTTCCTCCGAGTTTTGGACGAGATTTCCCTTTTCAATATTAGGAAAGAAGTATGGCAGTTTATGAAGCTTTCTTAATATCAAATTTGTTAACTCTTTTTGTTTCCTTTCCAAGGCATGTAAATCTTGTACAGATACTCCCTGAGAGCACATTGAAAGGGATTCAAAATCTAATTCTATTGCAATAACTCTGTTAGTTTGCTCTTTTATTTCCTTTCTTAAAATTATTTTACGATTGTGTGGTCTGCCGTTCGACTACCCAATATTCGTGAAACCAACAGGTATCATAAAAAATTTTATTAAATAAGAAGATTGGCTATTGACTTAATTGAATACATGGAATTGACAATTAATAATGGCAAATTAGTGCGTGGACCATGGTCCACAGTGTTATGTGGACAATAACAAAAAGTACATTTTTAATATATTAAATGTGCATTATTTTTGTACTGAATGTACATTATACAATGTAATGTACACTCAATACAAAAATAATGTTCATCCCCTAAATATAATGTATATTATTTTTGTACTGAATGTACATTATTTTACAGTATACAAAATATGATCTACATAATTTGTGTGGACCATGGTCCACACAATATAATGATTGATAATGACAAATTATGGCAAATTGATAATGTCCGGTCAGACGGTCCATTGCACCCCAAAAAAAATGTTCGGTCATAATTAAATAAAAGTTTAATTAGTCAATTGACAATTCCCAATAATTACAAAAATACTATTTAGACTCCAAAAATATACTCTCAACTTTTACTCTCGTGTTCAAATTTTATTGGAGAAAAAAAAAAGAAGAAATAAATACAAATCATGACCTATTATATTAAAGGATAAAGTACAAATAAGCCACTGAACTATTTGGGAAACAGCAATTAAGCCATTGAACTCAAATAACCCTCAAATAAGCCATTGAATCCGAAAAAAAAAAGAGCAAATAAGCCATTGAACCCTAAAAAAAGAGTAATTAACATTTTTTATAGGTAAACTCCAGATTTTTGCTGATTGGATTACCAAATGTTTATTTTATTTACGTTTATTATTATTTTTTATTAATATTATCCACTTGGATAGTATTATATTTTAAAATAATTATAAGCAAAATAGTTACCAAGACTATGTGGTCTATTAGTATCCGGGTTGGATTTCCATTTGGAAGGTTATAAGTTCGAGCCTCAGTGGAGGCGTTATTGGTTCTTTGTGTGTTAGTAGGTTGAGAAAGTATACGAACAAATATTACATTGTAATAGAACCAGTAGCATTCAAAAAAATAAGCAAAGTAGTTTTGTCTTATCGAGATTTGATTTGTTTATTTATTATTATTATTTTTTCACTAGATCTTTTGTTTTAAAAAAAATAATAAATAAATAAATTAGATCTAGACAAGACAAAACTACTTTGATTATAATTACTTTAAAATATATTACTATGTAGATGGATTATAATAATAAAAAAAAACGTAAATAAAATAAACATTTGGCAATTCAGTCAGCAAAAACCTGGAGTTAACCTGTTAAAAATGTTAATTGCTCTTTTTTTTCGAGTTCAATGACTTATTTGGGGGTTATTTGAGTTCGATGGCTTAATTGCTTTATCCCAAATAGTTCAGTGACTTATTTGTACTTTATCCCTTATATTAAACAATCAAAGCATGATAAAGCAAAAAATAAGAGTACATATAGAATTACTCAAATAATTATAACTGGCTTAAGAAAGATGACAACATATAACCCTAACTTATAACTGTAAAGGCAAATAATATTTTTACAACATTAAGGGGATTGTTTGGTTGGATGGAAATCAAATTCCATAAAAAAGATTTTCCATGAAATGTAAGAAAATGTTGTTTTACCTTGTTTGGTTGGATGGAAAATCTTTACCATGGAAATTTGACTTCCTAAAAGTGAAGGAAAAGAAAATTATACCTAAACATTGGTATTTTGTTTTCCGGATGAGTCGAGAAGAAAATATAGTAATATTAGACTATTTTGCCCTCATCAAAATTTATTAATTACACATGTATAAATTATTGTTAAGGGCAAATTGATCTTTATATTCATAATTCCTTACCATTCTAAACCCAACCAAATAATAGAATTTAGGGAAAATGACACTTTTTCCCCCTGAGTTATATACCTATAGCATTTTTTCCCCCTGAAATGTTAAATGGACATATTTACCCTTAAAATAAATATTTCATTTATTTTTTTTCTCCAACAAATTATGACCATAATTTGGTTCAAACCAAACAAACACTATAGCAACCAAACTGAAATATTCCAATTACAATTTAGAATCGAAACCCAATATTTAGAGTTTATTAAAATCGTGAATCGGAACGGACGGTTCATGTTCCGAACTGAAAAAATAAAATACATTTATTGTTGAATTTAGACTATTTTAAAATAAAAAATAAAATTTTAAAATAAAGACGGTTCAAAATCGCGAACCGGGCGCCGGTTCACGGTTCAAGATTCAATTTTTTTGATACATAATTTTAATAAATTGACATCTAAATATTGGGTTCTAGGTCTGAATCATAACCGGAAACTTTTAATTCGATTGCTTTAGTGTCCGGTTCAGTTCAAACCGAACCGTGGTCATCCCTACGTATACGCAATAATTTGTTGGAGAAGTAAAATAAATAAAATGTTTACTATAAGGGTAAAAATGTCAATTTAATATATCATGGGGGAAAAAGCACCACTTTTTAAATAATTGAGGGCAGGGCCGGATTTTAGGCTGTGCAAGCTGGGCTACCGCACAGGGCCCCCAATTTTAGAGGGGCCCCAAATTTTATAGGTCCAATATTTAATTTTTACCTAGCTAGTTTAGAAATAAAAATTAAGAGTTTTCAATTAAACTTAAAAGGTTCTATGAAGAGATGGTAAAAATGTATATTTATTGTATTTTAACTTGGAGGTCAAAGGTTCGAAACTTGCATGTATTGATTTTAAAAATTGTGATTTTGGTAGGGCCACATTTATTTACCAGAACAGGGCCACCAAAATTTAAAATACGGCCCTGATTGAGGGGGCTAATGTGCTTACCTAAATAATTGAGGGGGAAAAAATGCTAGAAGTATATAACTCAGGAGAAAAAGTGTCATTTTCCCTAGAATTTATATTCACAGTAATTTCTTTTCCACCAACCAAACAATAGAATCTATTTTCCTGATAAATTATTTTCCATGGAATTTGAATTCCATTTATCTTTAAATATTTTCCATCAAACCAAACGGGCTTTAATATATATGTATGTATATAATTTGGGTCCTAAAAGTTGGGAATCCTGGGCACATGCTCGGCCGGCCCTGACTTGGAGCCACAACTCATTTCTTTTTATGCTTAAATAATGGTTTTGTGTGAGAATTTTAATTTGATGAAATGGAGAAGGGATCAGGATCAGAGTACAAGGAGGCACTGTTGTTAAGTAACCTGCAGAAGAAGAATTGTTACTATGAAAACTGCCCAGGATGTAAGGTGGAGCAGCAGAAGAGATTGCAGAGGGGTTTACCAATCAAGAACCTCATCACAGTTTGGATTATTGTGCTTGCCACTGGTATGTATGTATGTTATTCATTTGGTTGCATGATGGAATTCACTTTCTTTCTACACCATATTCAATCTGGTTATTATTCTTGAGATTCTTAAGTATGTGATGAAAACTTGAATTTTCAGTGTGTTCTTTACTTCTCTTACTTTGTTATGTCTCCAAATTGCAGCACTTCCAATATCATCCCTGTTTCCATTCCTTTATTTCATGGTAAGCACTCTAATATATTCTTAGGATCAAGCAGAGCTGGTAGTGAAAACACAACTTTATTTCTTTATATACGTCCACATTTTTCCGAGGCAGGATGCTAGACTTCACCTTTTAAATCTCAGCCCAACAATTCCCTAGTCATGTGGTACTGGACTTGGCCCTTCAGTGACCTCCACCCAATAATCCCCTAGTCACCTGGTGCTCAGCCCAATATTCCCCTAGCGGAATGTTATGCTGTGAGCACGTGCCCACCTAGGTGGGCACGGTTCCATATTCATAATTTCTATACTGTAGATTCATAATTTCTATACTGTAAATTCATAAAGTGTATACTTTAGATTCATAATTTCTGTACTGTAAATTCATAATTTCTAAACAGTATAGTTATCAATTATGAACATATAGTTCTCTGATTTGTGAAAACAGAGTTCAACAATTGGAATCTAGAGTATAAATTTTATGAATCTACAGTATAGAAATTATGAATCTACAGTATAAAAATTATGGATATGAAACCGTGCCCACCTTGCAAGGTGGGCACGTGCTCACCTTGCAAGGTGGGCACGTGCTCACGGCATAATTTGCCTCCCCTAGCCACCTGGTGTTGGACTTGGCCCTTCACTGTCTTCTGCCCAACATATATCCTTTAAAAAGTTGATACTTTGAATGTATGTTCATGTGTTTGTCTTGTCTTACATATTATGTATCTGCAGGTAAGGGATTTCCAGATTGCGAAGCGGGAAGAAGATATAGGTTTTTATGCAGGTTATATTGGTATGTCATTTTGTTTTCATATCCCATTCCTAGGTTGGGTTGGTAGTTTTGATTGTGTAAGTAAGTGCTCATAAATTGCCCAAACTTTAATTTGTGAAGGATCATCGTTTATGGTAGGAAGAGCACTGACATCTGTGTTCTGGGGAATGGTGGCTGATCGATATGGCCGGAAACCAGTCTTAGTATTTGGCACCATGGCAGTGTGTGTAGATTTACACAATAACCTTATTAATTTCTACATGCCTCTTTTTTTTTTTTTTTTTTTTTTTTTTTTTTTTTTTTTTTTAATGTCTAACAAGGTCTAAATCTGCTGCTGATATGTTTCAATTCAGGGTTGTTCTCAACACTCTCTTTGGTTTGAGTGTAAATTTCTGGATGGCAATCATCACAAGATTTCTTCTTGGAAGTTTGAATGGCTTACTTGGACCAGTAAAGGTACCTTTAATTTAATTTGTTCTTATCTTTTCAACATTATACAAAAAAGACTAAATCCAGCAAAATAACTATAGTGAATGACTAAATTGAGTATTGTTTTTTCTTTTTGGTAATTGATACACTGCTTTACCTTTCCTCAATATCCAGGCATATGCAGCAGAACTTTTCCATGAAGAACACCAAGCCTTGGGAATGTCAATGGTAATATATATATATATATATATATATATATATATATATATATATATATATATATATATATATATGCCATTCTTTTCAAACAAATATTTGCTCTTACAAGATTCACATTGATCATATTACAAGACGCAAAAACATGTATAATTATAACTTCCTAAAAAAAAAATGTATAATTATAACTGCTTATTTCAGATTACCATATCATGGGGTATAGGCTTAGTTATTGGTCCATCTTTAGGAGGCTTTCTTTCACAGGTACACTTTTCTCATTCACTGCATATAATATATGGGTTAAAGCCATCCATTTTTGGACAGACTTCTTTCTTTAACTGGCAATTCTGAGTTTTATTTGCTTCACTTTTTCTTTTAATTTACATCTGAACTAAGCCTGCAGAGAAATACCCTTCTGTGTTCTCTCCAGACTCTTTATTTGGGAGGTAAGTCCACTTTCTTGCTTTATATGATTGTATGTATAACCTTCTCTAAGTCTATAACTGCTCCCTTGACTCCAAAGCACTTTGGGTTATGCAGATTTCCGTACCTCTTGCCGTGCTTAATCATTTCATTCTTTGCACTGGTAGTAGCTATTGGTTCGTTTTGGATACCAGTATGTCTTCTTTACCTAGCTTTTACTTACCATCTCAGTCTACATTTTGTTCCATATATATGTGTTGTTTTTGTTGGGGCAGAGGTCGGTGAATGGCCAAGTCCAGCACCATGATGCTAGGGGATTGTTGGGCGGATCAAAAGCAGATGAAGGGAAAAGTCCTCTAGCACTAGGTGGCTAGGGGAATTGGTGGGCTGATACCGGTAAAGGGTTAAGTCCAATATCGAGAACCAGGTGACTAGGGGATTGTTGGACAGAGACTGGTAAAGGACAAAGTCCTCTAACACTAGGTGGCTACTAGGAGAATTATAAGGCGGAGGCGGGTGAAGGGCTAAGCCTTGCACCCTGCACCAAGTGGCTAGGGGATTGTTGGGCAGAGACATGAGGCCAAGTCTAGCACGCTAGGGATTGTTGGGCGGAGGTCTGAGGCCAAGTCCAGCATCCAACATCTCAATGATGTGGCAGTCTACAACCTCTCATATAAGAGAGCAACTTGGTGCCATTGGACCACAAGGTCTTTGGCGTCTTCTTTCCTGCTTAATTGGTTTAAAAATGATGTCCTTTGTAGTTTCGGGTTTTTTTTTTTTTCCTAATACCCAAACATTACAGGAAACATTGCATAAACATGATTCAGTTAGTGTTTCACCATGTGACTCAAATGAGGCGTTAGAGGCTGCAGCTCACCATCAAGTTGAAACAGAAACTTCTTCCAAAGAAAGCCTTTTCAAGAACTGGCCATTGATTTCATCCATCATTGTGTATTGTGTCTTCTCTTTTCATGATATGGCCTATACAGAGGTACATACATATATATATGCTATCTCTGTCATAGATAGATAGGATCGATCTTAATTATTTGCTTAAATTAATTAATTAAAGCTGTGATTTGCTTCTGCAGATATTTTCATTATGGGCTGAGAGCCCAAGAAGGATTGGAGGTTTAAGTTATTCATCTAATGATGTTGGGGTTGTTCTTGCTATCTCAGGTCAATTCTCAGTTTCTCACTACTTTTAATACATACAAACATGCCATTTCACAACTATATATATGTATGGATCGGAAATATTATTATAGCTAACTTGTCCATTAATTATATTGAATTGTTTCAGGTTTTGGTCTGCTAGTCTTCCAATCCTGCATTTATCCATTTTTTGACAGGAATTTGGGTCCAAGACTGATAGCACGTGTTGGAGGAGTAAGCGTTTCATTCCTTCTCATCCCTTGTTTAAGATTAAAATGCTTAATTAACCAGTTACAATAACATTCCTGGCATATATATATGATTTAATTTAATTAATTTGCAGCTGGTGTCAATACCCCTCCTGACAAGTTACTCCTATATAGCAACATTATCTGGAATTACCCTTTCACTGGTGCTTAACTGTGCATCTGTCATGAAGAATATTTTGTGTGTAAGCACGTACTATATATACTGCGCTACCTACCTAGCTTTTATATATGTTATCTGATATATCGAATAGATCGAAATGCCATTATATTATATTGCATGCATGCTCTAAGTTGAAATCTTTTGTTGTTGTTGTCATCAGGTATCAATCGTAACTGCAATGTTTATGCTGCAAAATAAGGCTGTGGTAAATTAATATGCCAAGTTTAATTTAATTTAATTTAATTGGCTTCTTCATTATGAGCTAGATAGTTTGGTTTGAGTAGTTTAAGGCTTTAAGCTGATCTGATACTTTGAGCTGGGGGGGCATCCATATATATATATAGGATCAAAACCAAAGAGGAGCAGCTAATGGCCTTGCAATGACAACAATGTCAATCTTCAAAGCCATAGCTCCAGCAGGAGGGGGAACACTGTAAGCAACTAACCCATGCATTTCTGTATCATCATTTAGGTATACGTTATAGAGAAAATACCAAATTTTGTCTGATCTTACGAGTATTAGCAAAATGACGATTTTGGTTTACATGTTTAATCAGTGCCAATTTTCATCCAACCACTATTGTTTTCGTGTCAAAATTGATTAAGCGAGTCACCCCTTCATTCGGATTAAACATGCTGGAATGCACAATTTGTAAGGGTATTTTTGTCCATTCATATATAATATGCCAATTGATCAACAACGTCACCCCTGGTAGGTGAATTGGCGCATATATTGGATGAGAGTTCATACATTAATGGAATTGGCATATATATTATAAATGAATGAACAAAAATATCCTTAAAAGTTACACATTTCGACATGTTTTAGTTGGAGGGGTGATTGACATGATCAATTTTGGTTAAAAAACAATAGCCGTTGGATGAAAATTGGTAATGATTAAATATGTGAACCAAAACTATCATTTTATTTGCTAATACTCATCGTGGGATCAAATTGGTATTTACTACCTTAAAAAACAAAAAAATTGGTATTTACTCGTTACGTTACGTTGCTGCTTAAATTAAAGTAATTTCAAAATATAATGCTACTGCATATATTCTTTCAAAAAAAGTTGAACCCCAAACCTAAGGGAATGCTACTGCATATATGCATGCATGCATAGCAGCTAAATTACGTAGCCGCTTTTGAATTTGTGTAGCTTTTCATGGGCACAAACGCGTCAAGATGCTGCAATCCTTCCTGGTATACTATTTCTTCTTTGCTTAAATTTGTTTTTTTTTTTTTTTTTTTGAAAGCAAACACAAAAATAATTGTATTAACTCATCAAGAAAGCATGAACAAAAGTCGAAGGTTCAGCTTCCCACGAGCAAGAACCAGCATGAGAACCAACTGCTTTAGTAAGAACGTGAGCAAACTGGTTCACTGACCGACTAATGTGAACAACACGACATACACCTAAAGTGTTCAGAATAGCACGACAATCACTAACAGTAGAACTAACATAAGAAAGACACATCCAATTAGCTTGATGAACAATAAAATAATGCATGCATGCGTGCAGGTAGCCAGATGGTTTTCTTTGTGTTGAATGTGGTGGAGGCAATCGGAGTGCTCCTCACATTTAAGCCATTTCTTGTTGAACGCCAAAGTGCCAAATAGATCAATCACATAAATAATGCTTTCCAATTTAATTATTAGCTCTTTTCTTATATATGTATCACCGGATGTATGTTATAATCATGTTTGACTTTTACACCCAATGCATAATCATGTAACACTTCACTTTTTTTATTTGAGGAAAATTGCGAATTGTGATAGATCTTAAGACTTAAATCTCTTTATTTATGTTCAAATTGGAGTCTTAATTTGATAAGGACGAAAATACCCCTAAAAATTTCATATTTTGGCATGTCTTAAACGAATGGATGACCGGCGTGATAAATTTTTGTACTAAACCAATAGTCATGGATGAAAATTAGTACAAAAACAATAATTATGGATTAAAATTGGTAGAATTAAACATGTGGACCAAAACTGTCATTTTGCTAATACTCGTGGGACCATGCAGGGTAACAGTAAAAATGCTCATGTGGTTTGCTCCATTTAAAAATGCTCATTTAATTGTGTTTCACTAAGTGGTGGGGGACTGGCCGAATGGTTTGCTCCATTTACATGAGTGGGGATCAAACCACCCAACCTCATGCTTAAGGGACGAGGTGTTGAACCACTACACCAACCATATTGGTTATAGTGTATTAGAATTAAACCTTTATTTCAACCATCTTGGTTGGCGTGAGTGGTCGTGCACTTTCTTCCATTAAGAGAGGTCGGGAGTAAATAGTTAGCTTATAAGTTAATTTTGGCTTATTTGACCACTATTAACTGTTTGATTTGGTTAAAAAAAAATAAATATAAGTGTATGGTGCATTAATTTTTTGTAACTCCAAAATGCTAAAATTCAAAAAGCTACTCCAAGCAACTTTTTCAATTAGTTTTTTTTAGAAAAAAAATTATACCAAACAACTATCAGCTAACACTCTAACCAATTTTCCAAACACTTTTCTACTATCAGCTAATGTTATCAACTAGTTATACCTTCTAATTAACTCAATTAACTAACAGCTAACAAGTAACAATCATTTACCAAACAGGCCATAATTTTTAAGTGAAAATGAAAAAGAAAAAAAAAATCATGAGCCTTTTTTTTAGCAAGTGTCAAGTCAAAGGGGTTTTATTATTTTATAGATGATCTTACATGTATATGGTGGGTTTGTTAGGGAGCCACATATATAATTTCAAATTTTCTAAGTGACCTGAGGGAGAAGAAGGGATCCCTAACTGTCAGGAATTATGTTTAGATAAAATTTAATGATGATAAGTAATACATTGATAACCATTTTAGTACCCCCAATCAGTTTAGACCCATCCCAGAGCCTCTGATGCCCGCAATTGGACTTGATCCAGCCGTTCACGTCTCCTAAGTGTGTAAGCCGGAAAGTGGTGGGACTGAAACATCTCTTCCAATAGGCACAAGAAAGCGGAAAGTCCAAAGCTTTCACCTATCCTAGCATCCGCGATTGTTGTACAATAGTTACGAAAAGTCATTTTCAACCGTGACAGATGTGCAATTTTGTACTAGTGTCCATTCCACACCTAGAACAAGAACCATCTTCAATCATTCATCTCCGCTTGCGCTCCACATTTGTCAGCAACTGACCTTTAACAACGATCCAGATGAACATCTTGACTCTTTCGTTGCACTTCAGCTTCCAAATCCATGAAAAATCTTCACCTTCTTCATCATAACCTGCAATTGTCTTAAAAGCAAGAGAGACCGATCGAGAACTTAACTGTGGCGGAGCCATTTGTTGAATAACTTGTAATAAAGACCAAAATAAGACTCAAAACGTTATACACTAAGTCTAGCCAGTAGATAAATAATCAATAAAATCATATTTTAGCAAACATACAATTTGCATACTTACGATCAATAAAACATCAAACAGTAAAAATAAACTGATTGTTAGTAGACAAGTAGTCAATTGGTAGAGTTTGTGAATGGCAAACTCAATAAATTATAAATAAAATATCTTAGTGAACTTGCAATTAATTAGAGTGTGGAATAGAAGGGAATCTGACAAATTTAAGAGTCTAGATAAACAAAGTTGATAATGGTAGAGTCATCAGAAAACTTAAGTAGTAAGCTTTACTAATTATTACTAGAGAGAAAAGAAGAGTAAATTTAGAGGAAATTTGAGAAGGAAAAAAAAAAATAGGAGAGAGGGATAACATTTAAATTAATTGGGATGGGTGGATCATGGATGGATGATGTCCTTGTTTAAAAATAATAAGGATAATTTTTTTTTTAAAAAAAAGTTAAAAGCTAAGGAACTCATTTTTGAAACACTACTTTTAAAAATAATAAGGATAATTTTTTTTTTAAAAAAAGTTAAAGCTAAGGAACTCATTTTTGAAACACTATTTTGAAATTGAGTAATATTCAAAATAAACTATTATTTTAAACTAGCTAGATATAAACTTCCAAATAAGTTATTCTAAACAAAACGTCAAGTAAATTAACTCCATTTTCAGCCGCTCAATTATCTATCAAATAAAAATATGAAAGCATTATACTTAATGATACTTGATTTGCAATAATAACAAATCTGATTAAGTGTACCTATCGCTTTTGAATAACAAGTGTCGTAGCCTACATGGACTACAAGTACTAATTATAATTAGAGGTGGATAATTCGGTTCAATTTATCTTAATCGAATTAGTAATAAAAAATTGAACGGTTCGGTATCGAACCGAAATCGAAATTGAACAGAACCGAATACCATATGATTTTTTAATAATAATAATAATAATAATAATAATAATAATAATAATAAAGAAGTAAATCCAAGTCCCTTGATGTTTACCCGTCGTTCAATTCTTATTCTCACTGGTATCTCCCTTAAATTTTTTTTATTTGATTTCTTTATACCTTGTTCTCTACATTGCACTTTTGTTGTTTGTCGCAATTGTTCGTTACCTCACAATTATATCTAACTTGAGTTATATTTACAATATTCAGTATTTTCCTTAGTTTCATGTTTCTATTAATTTAATGTGCTTTACAATCATTCTAATTTTGATTTCCAGTGCACTGAATTATTTTCTAGTACTGAAATATATTTCGAGTGTACTAGCAATGACAGATAGTGTCCAAAAATTAACTATATAGTACTTGACACTTGTTCTTCTAATATCAACTATACAGATAGATGATTATTCATCTTGTCTATAAAAATATTTCAAGTGAACCATTTGAAGAGTCGGTTGTGCAAAAAAGTTAACTGATGCTTGCTAATTAGTACTTAGTATTGTGTTTGAACTTTGAATTGCTAGTTTGCTATATAATGTTTAGAGTTTGGATTTGGATTATGTGATGATGTGAATATGTATTGTTTGGTAGTATGTTCGAAAAATTAAGAAATGTTGAAATTTGGAGATTTTAAACCGAACCGAGTTTAATCCAAATCGAAACAGAACCGTTTCAAACCGAACCGAACTCTAATGTTAAACCAAATGGTTTAACTTTTTTAAAATAAAAAAACCGAAATCGAAAAAAAAAAAAAACCGGACCGAAACCTGAAAGCCTCCACCTCCCCCCCCCCCCCTCCGGGGGTACTAATACTAATTGTAATTTTATTATCTAGTCTAAATATATAACAATGAATTGATAAATTAAAATAAATGACTAATCAACAATAAATACAACCAGCTTCACACTAGATTTTGGTCTTGATAAAGCTAGAATTTCAAGAAACACAAAACATAGAAGTTGTAGATCATTCTCGATCGGATCTTTTCAACGAGTCTTGAATTTCTTAAATCCAAATCTTTAAGAGTCATCTAGATTATGCCCATTAGCCTTCATAAGACAAACACCATCATTCTTTGCAAAGGTTGGAGATTTTCTCTTAAGACGACTTGGTGGACGACCCTTGACGTTGAATATCAGACGCTAAAGAACATGTGCCCTAGTGTTAAAAGCCATTCAAAGGACTATCAAGATGAGTTTTAGCAAGTAACTTAATTGGCTTAGTTTGCAACTAGTGTAAAAGACTAACTTTTTATTTGTAATTTTTTATCATACTAATGAAACATTGAAACCTCATTGTATTAGTTATGGAGAAGAGTGACGATGGATCGGGTTAACTTGAAAAAAGTCTAGAGGGTGATGATGGACGTATTCTCCTCCATTTATAGCTAAATTTAAAAGAAAAAAAAATTGTTTGAGGGAAACAAATTTGAATCGCCAACTTCAACAAAATAATTTGCTTGCGATTTGATAAGTGTTGAAGACGTCCAGTAGCTACTTGCAACTTGTCCTAAAATTCACTTTTTAGTGACTTTCAAGGCTTCTTTCCATAAAAGGCAATAACGATCTTGTAGTGAATGTTGATCGAGATGTCTAGCTGTTTATCGTCATTTCCTGTTATACGCTCTGTTGCTTATCGAAAGTCTTGCTGCTTGCATTGAAAAGTCATATTGTCATCAAGTCTTGTTGTCATATAAGTTGTGTTACCCTAAAACTCATTTTGTCCAAAACTTTTACTGACTCATCAAAAGTCTTGACGTGCAAAAAGGTCTTGATGTCTTCAACCCTATGCTCAGCCCCTTGAAATTTTATGCTACTTGATTAAGACTTTTTCTATTGCAAGTCGTGTTGTGCTAACGTAATCAATTACGCCACTATCTAGACTCATGCTGCTCGATGACCTTTCTATGGTTTATAAGAGCATCCCCAATAGGAATTTTTGCTTAGTTTTTTAGGAAGAAAAAATCATGCTATGATTTTGGAACTAATGGGAAGGTTGATTTTTTAGAAGATTTTTTTATATAGCAAATTTTGATTTTTTGTAGGGCCCAAGTAAAAAGAGGGCATGAAAAAAGGCAGCTCAGGTATGCGCGTGTGGCGTAATATTCGCGCCCACGTGCCTATTGGGTGCGTAAGTAATACTTTATGTTTTTTTTTTTTTGAGTTAATACCCAAAATCGTCCTCGACTATAGTGGTTTTTCTCAATTTCGTCCTAAACGACTTTGGTGACCTAATATCATCCCAAACTTTTGTGTTTCGCTCAATTTAGTCCCAGACTTTTGTGTTTTTCTCAATTTAGTCCCTTATTTGTTATTCTATCCATTTGGTGTTAAATAAATAGACAATTCAGTAATTTTAATATTGGCATCTCTTTACTCATAGACATGTGAACTGCGAAATTCTTTTTTTTTTTTACGAATTACTCCCAGAATTACTCCTAAAACTG